TGCTGTAGCACAGCAATTTGTCCAAATGAAAATGCATCTGCAGATACAACTGTTTCTCTATTTGGATCATAATGTGCTAATTTCATAACCATTTATCATCTTTCGTCATGCTGTTTCTGCGTTTCCTCAACAAGAACAATGTTAATGTTGCAGAGTGTTCCGCCGTGTCGCTTCAGAGTTTCTGACATCCTTTTCTGGAGAAAAAAATCAGGCGCGGAACTGGTTCCGATTGGAAGGTGATTTTAAAAAAAAAACCCTTCCAAAAGGAGTAATAAAAGTTGCAAGGTGGTGTGAATCTTCTAACAGGTTTATCTGCCAAGAGCCTCAGTTTACATCAAGTTTGGTGAAAAACTTTGCACCTCCAATTTTAGCAAGGGACTCTTCAACTGGTGGTAGTGGGTGGTTCTCTCTTTTAACTAATCCATTCATTTTAGTGAGATCCACACAAATTCTTACCGTAATATTAATATTGATAATCACGTATCAATAATCTCTGAATACTTACGCATTCATGTCAAATGCGAGATCAGACGCACGCTTGAACATTTTTATTGTGTTTGCTGCTGTCTGAAACGATGTTATAACACCAACCAATATATCCGCCGATGATGGGCCAGATCACTACCCGCTATTAGGTTTGCGGTTATGTTTTTGTTTTGTTGTTTTGTTTTTTTTTTCTCTCTCGTCGGCGGTTGGTTTTGTCAGTGATGGCCCACCGGCTAATTCTTTGAACCGCTGATTTTCAGACTGATTTATTATTTGCTGACACTTGCTGGAATCATTTCGGGGCAAGACAGTTTTACTGGAATGCTTGCGTTAAAATGCTTCGTATTCTGTTTTATTTTGGTCGTACTGATCTTGCGAGTCTGTCTTTGATCGCCGAGAATGTTTTACCAGCAAATATTATCAACAGTGCCAATACTCTTATCGTGACTAACTTCGATGGCTTTCAAACCTAATTGTTTTACAATTGGGATAGCTTTTAGTGCCATCCTTTTAATTAAACCTTGAATAATATTGCCGAGTCCATCTCCTATAATTATTTTATAAACGAGTAAATTTATCACCCTGACGAGTTTTGAGGTCTACGTTGAACATTATGTATAATCATGTTATTTTGCTATCTCCGATCTAATAGATTACTCACTGTAGTAATCTTCGGTAATTTCATCGCCCGATAGCTACTGTCCATGAGGCCACTGGTAAATAAATGCTGACAAATAATAACTGCTTCATTGATAATTTCGTGGGAAATGTTGACATCTCTTCCTCCAATTAGATTTTCTAGTCAATCAACATCAGCGAGGATTTTATTACAACAAAGGTTATTTTGAATCACCGACGATTCAGCGATCACATTGCCTCCTTGTTTCCTACGATGTCGATAGCGAGTGGCAAGACCACTCCTGGCTGCTCGTTCAGATGGTTCTGGTTGTGGTTCTAAAGAAAGCCGCCGCGTGGTTATTTTGCTCGGATTTGTCCGTTTCTTTTTCCTACTTTTTTAAGTAGACTCTTCATATATTCTGTTTTCTTTCCGTTTCCATTTCTCTTTTTGCAGTATATTCCTCTAATGCTTGTTTAAAGATTTCAAAATTATTTTCGTCTTTTCTGACTTGGCGATTACTAGTAGCTATCCAATATACATCTTTGACATTGTCGACAGCTTTTAGAGTGCTAACATATTCGGGTTTTACAAATTGTTCTTTACGATCGTATCCAAACGCTACAATTTCAAGTATTTGGTCTCTATTCCTGATAGCGTTTAATATACATATGCGCTAGTAATAAGCACGTGGTATTCCCAGCTATTTATACATTACCCAGTTATGTCCGGCTGCGCCAAAACTAACAGTACGTTATTAATAGTTGGCTTCCCCAAGCAAAATAGGTACTACAACAAGAACAGGTGTGATTTACCTAGTAAATTATCTAGAATGTGTTATATAAATACGTGCACATGTTTAATGTTTGAGATATATTTGTATATCTGTCTGTTCAGAACGTTCTCGACCATAGGATAGTTATAAATTATCCGAAGTCCACAAGTAGAGTTACTGAATCAAGCGAAACAGGAGTGGCTCGGCAGTATACGTAGTACTAACTTGGATATATTATTTACTTTTTTGTACATAACACTTTAAATACTTTATTTTACCTGACCATTCTAGAGCACTGAATAGTTATAAATTATATAAAACTTTATTGATTTATCTTCAGCAGGTAGTTATATTAGGCTTTAACAAATATCTCTCAAAGCTGCGTATTCTGGTGATAACGTTGATGGTTTCCCCCATCATTACTGCTATACTAAGTAGGTTCAAACCCAGGACTAGGCATATTGCTTGTGGGTAACACTAGGGTTATTTATAGTGGTTATTTATTATTTATAGCCGAACTAGCAAGTTAACCGATAGTTTTTTGTACTCAGGTGATTTCGTTGGGGTTGGGAGTTGTAAAACAATTATCAATAATTAGTGAATGTCGTGACCGTAGAATGCAAGACTAACAAGCCTTTTATAATAAAAAATGTTAATAAAAGCAATAATGTAATAAATCAATTATGCTAATTAAAACATTAAAGCAAAATGCTAATAAAACAGTAAAGCAAAAATGCTAATACAAATTTTGTATTTTTTAATGTCAGATTAGCATTGAAGGTTGAGAGAGAGAGAGAGAGAGAGAGAGAGAGAGAGAGAGAGAGAGAGAGAGAGAGAGAGAGAGAGAGAGAGAGAGAGAGAGTACAACAAAAAAAACCCTGGTCGACGTTACACTCGTCGGTTGACTCACACACAAACACACACACACGAACCAGTTAATTAATCTTGATATTAAATAAACAAAAAAATCAATCAATGACAGCCGCTGGAAATTGTTATGATATTTATTCTATTTCAGTATATCTTGTAGCGAACAATATATAACTCTGCGACAGCAAAAAGTTAAATAAAAAATTGCATTTGAGTTTATTTTAAAAATAAACCACATTACAGAACACTGTTATAAAAAGATACATTATTTTGGCCCGTGATTTGATCGTCCGGGGATTGTTTCACTAATACTGGCGTAACTTACACAGAAAGTAGGAAGTTACGCACGTCATAACTTACGCAAAGTGAGCGTTTCTCGAAGGTGTACGTAAATCTGATAAATCGTCGCAACTTACGTTCCTGCCGCAACGTTTAATCCCGTGACTCTTTAGGGATAGGAGACAATAAATGTGTCCTTAATAATGTAAACTTCTGACACAAATGATGACTTTTCTGATGACAAAGCAATCTTTTCTGACAACCACAATATTGGAAGTAGATTCACAGTCTCGAAAATGGTCTTAAGAGGCAAAATTATGACAAGCTATCAGGAACTATATTCTAGTCAAACTACAATTACAAAGAAACTACAAACAAAATATACACAAGTAGAAATGCTAATAACAACTAACAATGGATATAGAAATATAATATGTTACTAACAACAGCAGAAAAGTAAATGCATTTAGCAATGTATTAATAATTGCAAAATGAAAGAATTTATTATATATATATATATATATATATATATATATATATATATATATATATATAGTTTGAAGAAAATTTTGTGCCCCTTTTTATATCAACATCAATTTAATTAGGATTTATTATACCTATATCAATATAAGCATAATATTTGTGCTTTGATTTTTTTTATGTTAATATAATTTTGAGTTAATATCTTGTTATTAGTTTTCTTTTGAAATTATATCAATTCAATATTACTGTACCAATCAATATCAAATTATTTTGCTCCATGTGTAGATACCCTAACAAGTTATACATATCCATGCAGCTTAATGGAGATTGAAATGGAGAAATTGCTCTTACAATAAAGAAAGTTGTAAATTTTTGAAAACATGTATCAACTGAAAAAAGAAAGTATGATGATATAACATAATACTTCTCTGTGTCACCCCTCTTCAAAATATTTTGTGTAAGATATTATTAGTCAAATTTAAATCAGGTGTATTTATGTGTATAATTTATATATCCTTTTTTCTATGGTCACTATTAATCTATTATGACTATTTTACTAAATATTGCCTTTCAAGTTGTTCACATATTATAAACTGTGTTTAAAATTCTTCTCAAGATCATAAAGCTGATAATCTTTTACTTTTATTGACAACGCTATCAAATATCATTTCATCATCATTTGTCTTCATTGTCATCACTAGCATTTCTATAAGGAAACTTTTCATCAATGGCCTTTTTGTGCAGCTTGAGGACAGCTGTGATAATTTTCACTCTTCACACAGCTGGGGGGGGGTGGATTCGCAGGTTCCATGTCTGTTTTATGGGTACACTTATAAATACAAAAAAAACCAAAGCTAATGTATATATATATATATATATATATATATATATATATATATATATATATATATATATATATATATATATATATATATATATATATGACTAAAGATAAAACAAAATTTCACTTGACATTGTTTTGTCAACAGTTATACTTGAAAATCTTATAGCTTGTAATTAGAATATGCATGTAATATTGTGGCAGAAAGAATATAATGTTTGGTTTACAATTTAGGTACAATGTTTTTAAAATTCATCTCCTGACATAGACCTTTAATAAGATCATTTTGTGGAGTTGTAGGACTCACATTACTAATGATGAAAAACTGGAAACCAGTATAGAAAGGGAGATGATAATATAGAGTATACATGGCTTTGGCAATCCATGATTGGTTAATAAGGAAAGTTAGAATGTGATGTGATTATGATTTTTAACGTAGCTTTAACAATTTTTCAGTCATGTCGCTACGATATTAGCAGTGTGGCAGTTTATAGTGATTTCTAGCAATGGGGCATCATACCGCAGATGTGTAGCATGACATCCCACCAAGTCCTATTATCCTGACACGAGGCCGACCAGTCCTAACACTAACCTCTTAATGCTGAGCAGAGCAAGGCAGCTGTTAATACCATTTTTGTAAGTCTTTGGTATGACTCGACCGGGAATCGAACCCACGATATCCCGCATTCGAGGCGGACACTCTAACCACTAGACCACCGGAGCGGCGGAAAGTTAGAATGTAATAACAGTATATTCATATGGGTACAAGACTGAGAGTCAATAATCCGCTTCGTGTCAGAATTGGGGGGTTAGACTGTGTTAAAAAAAAAAAACTTTGGTAAATGCTATTTTAGCAGAGTATTTGCGAGTGGCATATTTAAATTTAAATTTATGAGGCAAAATACAAACCTGAATATGTACGGGTATAAGATGAGTTGTCTATGTTGGTCTCTGTATATCATCTCATACCAAATCTATCAGTTGTAAAAAACAAGTCTCTTGGAAAGCGATATCTTGATGTTAAAATGCGAACTTGCAGAATATTCAGGACTTGTATACTGTCCCGGAAGACACGTTGGCTTCGCGAACTACGTCCGATATTTTTATTCTTATTCAGTCTGAAGATAATAAAAGTGGCCAGAGGCCATTTTTTCCTTGCTCTAAACATACGCCAATTAGGTGCCTGTCTTAAGTTACGCGAGAACTTACGTTTATGTGTAGTTTACAGAACATTAGTGACACGGGTAGATTCTGCTCAAGCAAGGTCGTTTGCGTAACTTACGCCAAAAATACGTTACGCACAGATTACACAATACTGTACAGTCGTTTCTCTTTATCAAAAATCAGACATTATATTTTAAACATCAGTTTGCTCCAAGAATAACGAATAATTCCACTGTCAAAAATTAAGGACTATTGAAACTTAAGTTTTGACTCTTCAGATTATGAGAAAAAGTGTTAAATGGCAAAAGTTTTGAAATATGTCTACGCACACAATCAAGCATAATTATGAATTAATCTTTGGATGTATGTTAGTAGGTACATATCTACATATACATATATGCATTGGATACTAATTACTATTTTTTGAGCAATTTATTCAATAAACTAATTTTAGATCCAATTATATTTATGTCCCTCAGCATTAAAACCTCTTTGGTGAGTGTCACATTTTAACGTCTCAGAGAACTGACCCACAAGAGTAGCAAGGTAATGCTTGATGATTCTTGAATCTCATATTGTGTTCATATTCCCATCATAACTGTACCTCAACACTCTCTAACCCTTGGGAGGAAAATTCTGTGGATGTAATCTGTTTTGTGTGCTTGGATCGGCTTCTCTTTGCTACAAACGTTCCTGAAGAAACCTTATTATAACTATTGTTTCTGACCTGTTTACGAGAATTACCAATTGACGATCTTCTTACCACAACTTTCAGCAAGTTTGCATAATTACGCACTTGGGCGTTGCAGTTTGTATCTGCTTCTTTAACTTGTTGCCTCACTTTTCCACTTGTATTCCTTTTGCGCAGACGTCTTGGAGTGAAGAGATCAAATAGTTCTGGACCATAGAATTTAGATGCTGCCACTTTTGGGGACATGTCTCTGAAATGGTCTGTTTTGTATCGACCGTCAACAATGTTAAATAAATCTTTGAAGCTTTCCTTGTCCAATATCATCTGTAAAACATTTATAATTCCTTTGCTTGTTGTCAGACACCTGCTTTTCTTCTCTGTCGCACCTTCCGGTAAATCTTTACTCTGAACTAATTTTCCAATCGCAATAGCCATAGAACCATCAGGTAAGTTGTGTAGACAAGGTGGGTATGGAGAAAGAAGGACATTGATGCTGCTAGTCTCACTCGGGAAGTCATCCGTTCTAGCACCAGAAATGAGGTAAAACCCAGGCCTTGATGATTCAATGTCAATATGGGTGATTTCATCTCTATCCTTGAAATGGAAATAAATTCTACATGGATAGTCAGAGTATTGAAACCAACGATGGTATCCCTGTGATGGACCAGGTGTCAATTTAATGCTGATGTATTGCATGTAGAAGCGACACTCTGCTTCTGATTCTTTAAAGATCTGTACAATTTTAACCACAGATCGACAATGAGATTCATCCTTGCCACTTACAGTCATGATCGCAGAAGCATGTTTTCTCTCCGATATATTTAAATTTTCCAGTGTGAACATATGCTTACCACCATCTGAGATATTATACTGATTTGTGGATGATTTCTTTCTAAGTGTTTTATCAACCAAGATGGTTTTTGGCTCAACAGATCTAAGAACGAGGGCATTCACAAATTTATCCATCTTTCCTGGATACTTTGGAAGTACGACTGTCATCTTCTGTTTCATCTTTAATGCATGGTTATTCTTTCTAGTACCGTTTATGTCACCGTTCTTCTTTCCTTGCTTTCTTTTCGGTTTTGTAGATTCGTCTGTTACAGACTTGAACCTATTGAAATCAGTCTCGTGGAGTATAGGTTGCGGTATTGAAACTTGTTCGCATGCCAAGTCAACAGATGTCCTCTGATTCGATGCCTTCGCTGGCATGGTGATCAAGAACATGCGCTCTCCACACTTCAAAGCGTAGGGCTCTACTTGAACTTTGACTGAAGAAAAAAACGTCTGCACTTTTGATATGACTGACTCTGGTTGAATATTCATCACTTTGATTTCATCGTTTCCAAGATAAAGCCGAGTCGCGCTTTTGATTTGTTTTCCCTGTGTTACGACTGTATTATTAAGGACAGTTCCTGTGAATGACATTTCTTCTACTTGAGATGATAGTAGAGATGATTTAGAGGGACAAGGAAGATATGTAAATTCATCTTTCTCTTGTTTCATCAATTTATTACAGCAATCAATTTCCAAGATAGGTATATTTTGCATCGCTAGCGGTGAATATTCAAGTGTGGTCAAAATATTAGAGTTGCCACAGACGCTGGGTCTAGTGTAGGAATGATCGTCAATATTCACGCACACTGATGGTGGCTTGTTTACAATATTTCCTATGATATTGTTGGCAGATTTTGTTAATTTAGACTCAGTTTTAGTTTTTGTTGGTATAATGCATTTACTATCTGTAGGATTAGACACATTACTTTTATTATGTATCCTAAATGTTCCTATTATTTGGTTTGTTCTAGTCCTACTAGCTGGTGGAATGAATGGTTTAACAACAACTCCTGCGTTTTCTACAAGATATCTGTAGATGTGAGGTGTTAAAGGGATTGGCACAAAAACTGTCTTGTTTTTTCTTTTAATCATCTGAGGAACCAAATGAGTGGTTTTAAAAAGTGACTGCTTGTTCTTTTCTGATTCATCCAGAGCATGCACTGTACTGGATGAAATATTGGAATTTCTATTTGTGGTTTCAATTGGTAATTCTGTGGAATCGCTCGTGCACACTATCTCTTCACTATTTGTATCTTCTTTGTTTACTATTACAGCTGTAAATATGTGCTTACTCGTAAACATAGAAAAGTCACTTGTTTTTTGAGTATTCACTTTTCCAGACATGACATATTTTTCTGTTGTTGTAGTTACAACATTTGTCTCAGAAAAGAATTTGGAGCCTAATTTCTCTAGCTGGCGAGTTCTTTCACCACCTTCAGGGCTGGACGTGTTTTCTGACAAAAGAGCAGATTGCGTCTGCAGTTTTGTATTCGAAACTAATGTATGAAAACGTGTTGTTTTGACCCTCGACACAACTTTATCCTTATCTTTCTTAAATGATAAACCTTCACTGACTGCAACTTCTTTAGTCACTGCTTCGTTTGTATTCTCTGCCGCTGCGCCGCCTGCATTGAAATTAGTTTTGATCTTTTCAGAACTGGAATTGTTCAAATTAACTAACTCAACGTTGCCCTTGGACTGTTTTGAATGTAGGGGCACTGGATAGTTGGAAGGCTCTCTATCCCTATCTAATCCGTAAATGAGTGACAGTTTGACAGGTATATCAGAAGTTACCCCAGCCAATCGCTCCAGGAAAACTGTCGGGTTCATCGGTAACTGTTTTGATGTCTCTGTCATTGCACCCTTTGGTTTCGATAGTGCCGATTTTGCATTGTAATACTTGTCTTCATTCTTATTTAAAAAAGCTGAAGCTGTGAGTTGATCTAATGAGCCCATTGTTGACATATTTTCAATCCTCTGAGCTAAGTTTTCTATATCCATCAATCTTTCAGAATGACCTGAATCTATTAAGTTCTTAATCTTTTGGTTAGATTTATATTTTTTCTTATCTGACTTTAGTGATCTTGCCTTTTTAGATGCTTTATGAGATCCTTTATGCCAAGAATCTTCATTTATAATAGACAACGAAGACGATGAAGAAGAAGACGACGATGCAGAAGCTTGCAAAGCTCGGTCATTAAGGTGCAATCCTCTGATCTCATATGTGATTTTGGTTGTAGACTTTTGCTCTGCTATGTTTTTATCAGTCGTACATACCGAGTATGGTGCGTTCGGCATTGCTGTTTGATCTGGGATATTCTGTGAAGTCAAACATCCAATGTTTTGCTGTTGAACTAATGGTGCCATTTTACTTTTCTTCGATATGGATGACCTATTTAAGAATTCCTCCCAGTAGTACGACTTATCAACGTTGCTCCCGTCTGTTAAACAAGGAATTTTAAATGCTCCATCTTGAAGTTTGTACCCCTCTGCAAGTGGTGATACCTGATCTTGGCTATATCGGTCCGAACTCGGCTTGCAAAGAACGGAAGACTGTCTTATTTGATAAAGGTAGTTTTTAGCATTGTTTAAGTTATCGGGATTAATCTTCTCTCTGTTTGTATCGGCTCTTGATGCAAAGAATTTCTCCGCGTTGAAATCTCTGATACCTCGTTGATTGGCAAATTCGTTGCTGGTTGACGGTGGATCAATGTATTTTGTGAATTTTCTACAAGGACAAGGCGAATTAGTAGCTTTTGATCCAAAATTGGAAATATTTAACGGAGATTGGTTAACTGAGATCAGGTGAAATTTAAACTCCAGTTGAGTATGCTTACGTTTTCTTTCTTTCTTAGTGCTAGATGGTGTACTGTTCAGATGAACGTCAATGGTTGCATTGGAAGAACCTCTAATTATCTCCATTTTATTTAAATTGTGTCTTACTTTGTTGTTATCTCTTGTATGGCTATTACCATTTTCTTGCTGGATAATACTTTGGCTATCACATTCTGAATTACTATTCTGTTTATCTGGT